TTAAAAACGCACCCCTTTTCATAGCTTTCCGATAGTCAATTCGTGAATTTAACAATCAGCATTGCTAGTTCACTGCTTGAACTAACATACAGGCACACACAGATAAAAATTCTGAATTTTAATTGTGATGTAAACATTCATTCACGTAAACTTAAATTTAATTTCACACAACCGAGCAACTTGTAAACAATGTTGTCTATAAAGATGGGCTTTTGTATACAATATTTGCTACATTGCATGAATTGTGCTAGAACTTTACATGATATATAATGTAAACTTATATGATATATGATGCTCCATTTGTGTGCATCATACTGAACAGAAATTTACACTACTTTTCGAACTGTGCATGATAGTTCCAGAATAAGTAATGGAAAAGCAACGAAAAACTGCACGGGGCCATTTTACCCCAGGGGTGCATTATGGGCTATTATGGGCTGTTCTCCCCTACATTTTGCATACGATTTCTGCTTCTGATGATAACGCCTAAACTAAACATAAAGCCCCTGACATAAAAAAAAGAACGCACGTATCAACCATATTGATCGGATAAGCCATCTCGAAAAAAGCTTGCCTAGATGAAACTTACATACAGACATCAGTAAATTTCATCTTGCCGGGCCGATTTTTCATTTTCAATTTGATTCTACGATGTCGTAATCAAACTGTCGAGCCAGATCGAGCCGAGTTCTATCGATTGGGAATGTTTTATACAGGTGAGATAGCTTGTGTGGATGGCTATCGGTCACAGACGGTAAGACGTGCGAAAATCGATTCTAATACCTATGTTACGGTGGTAGCAAAGGTAAAACACTAAGATATATATCATAACAATTAAAACTGGGAAGCTATTGTAGTAACTGGAGCATTTAGGTTAAAATGAAATGCAATTTATTTTGAATTTGGAACAAATAAATAGTTAAAATTAATAAAGTTATTGGAATTAATATAGGAGAAATGGATGTAATGTCGGCCTAAATGCCCCTAATTTGGGCCCAAACATAATTACAGCAGTCGACTAAATTTTCAATAGCAACCGAAAAATAATAATTAGTACTGTCCCAATGACGCGTTCATCTAGATAAAATTGATAAATAGCAGATTTGTAGCGATGGGCCCAATTTTAGAACCATAGGCCAACATTAGAGCCATTCCCCCTGTGTGAAAAATAACATAATATATATTCCAATAATATTATATATAATCTGTATATACAGCTATCTGTTTCTAAATGTTGATCGCTATTTCAACTAATTTCAACGGGTACATTGATCCCACTCCGGTAAATGTATCTCTAGAACAGCTTTGGGTTAAGTTGAAACTGCATCGATGTTCAGTTAGTATTGGTGTAATTTACCTTCCACCTGATCGCAAGAATGATTTACTTAGCGTGAATAACCATATCGAGTCTATCGAAGCGATACATTCACACCTTGGGAATAACGATCATGCTATTCTTCTTGGCGATTATAATCAATCGGGACTTGTCTGAAACACACCAAGCAACGATCGCCCTTCCGTAGATGCATTGCAGTCTCACATCTCTGTTGCTTGCGCCTCGTTACAGCTGTAGAACCACTCTCTTTTCTTGATGCCGATCATCCCGCTTTTGAAGTAACTGTTAGTCTCGCGCAGCCTACTGAGTTTGAGAGTTTCCCGGACGAACCTGGACTTGACTTTCACCGCGCTGATTTTGGAGGATTACTTGAAGCGCTTCGCCAAACTGACTGGCACATCCTTGAATCCGCTGAAGATATTGACATTGCTGTAGAGTACTTCAGTTGAAGAGTTACTTGGTGGATTTTGTTCCAATGCGCAGGCCATCTTCGAAACCACTTTGGGGAAATATACATTTACGACGACTCAAACGTCTAAGATCCAAAGCACTCCGAACCTACTGCCAGTCTCGTTGTCCTGTTTCCAAGCAACATTTTGCTACTGCAAACGAACTCAGGAAAATCTACGCAGACATCCACGACATTTTTGAAAATTTGTCGACTCTAAACGGAAGGAGAATGGGTTACCCGTTGAGATGTTTCTGGGCGATGAAGTCGCCACCTCCGCTTTGGAAAAGTGCAATTTGTTTGCCACTCACTTAAGAAGGGCATTTAATGATTCTACGTCGTCTGCACGTCAAATCACAGAAGCTTGTAGAGATACACGTAGTGGGGTCTGTTCTCTGAGAAGCTTTGCGATCACGTCGAATCAGGTGGACTCCGCAATAAACAAATTTAAATACTCTGTGTCCAGTCCAGATGGCATACCGTCATGCATCCTGAAAATAAGTGGCGAAGAGTTGATTTTCCCTCTTACGACACTTTTCAACATATCATTATGGAAGCGTAGTTTTCCCACAAGCTGAAAAACATCGGTCATGTTCCCCGTGTTTAAAAAGGGGGATCGACAGAACATCGAGAATTACAGAGGAAAAACTTCCTTGTGTGCTTGTTCGAAGGTTTTCGAAATCATAATAAATGATGTACTTTTCGACTCCTGCTAGAATTATATTTCTACGGATCAACACGGTTTCTACCCCAAAAGCTCAACATCTACCAATCTCGTCCAGTTTACTTATTACTTATTATTACTGAAACGTCTAGGAAGAATTGGTGTCTCTGCGGATCTTGTAAGCTGGTTTGGATCATACCTTACGGATCGTAGCCTCACCGTTAATATCGGATTTGAATCTTCGGAACAATTTTCAAACTTATCTGACGTGTCCTTTGTTATTCTCACTCTTCATCAACGAGCTTTCTCTCGTACTACCATCTGGCTGCCGTGTGTTTTACGATTATGACGTCAAAATATACATGATCATAATCTAAAATTGCTGCTGAATAGTTTTGCTGATTGTTGCACCCGGAACATGCTGACGTTGAGCATCCACAAATGTAACGTTATATCGTTTCATCGCAAGCTCAACGGGCTTACGTATGATTATAAAATTAATGATCAGTCCCTTGAGCGTTGTCTTCAAGTTCGTGATCTTGGTGTCGTCCTGGATTCAGCGCTGACCTTCCGATCGCACTACAACAATATTATCTGTAGAGCTGGGATTTATGTTCAAAATATCCTGCGAATTTACCGATCCTCTCTGCCTCCGGTCTCTGTACTGCGCACTGGTGCGATCAATTCTGGAATCCAACTCTGTAGTAGGGTGCCCGTACCAGTCAACCTGGACTGGTAGGATCGAAGCAATTCAGAGAAAATTTGTGAGATATGTCCTACGACGCCTTCCGTGGCGAGATCCGTTAAACCTACCACAATATGGAGATCGATGCAGATTATTGGGACTGCAGACGCTTGAGCAGAGCAGAATGATGCCCAAGCGGTACTTTTGTAGCTAAACTTCTCACAGGAGAAACTGACGCACCGGAGTTACTAAGGTCAACGTAACTTAACGTTCCTGAACGATTACTTCGTTAACGAAACTTTTTGCTGCTTGAAGGATTGCTTCGGATGATGGATGTCCAATGGAGCTTATACAATTATAAATATTTTATATTTTCGACTACAGTTGATATTTGAAGCCATGTTCACTTTATGTGCTTGTTTTGTAATGTTTGTACTGTATTGTAAAAAGATATGGGGTTTTTACGCCATTTAAATTGGCTTTTCCCCATCACATTCATTAAGACGACAAAAAGTCAGATGAATAAATATATAAATAAATAAGTAAATAAATAAATAAAATATTGAAAATATTGTATGATTACAGATAAAGCTGTACATGTGGCATCACTGATTTGAACATCAACGGGTTTTACAACAATCTATGCGATCTAGAAGTCCTGGTACGGGAAAACTCACTGATTATTCTGGCCATACAAGAGGTCCATTGTAGAACCGTTGAAAGGATGGCTCGATACCTCGCCGCTGGATCTTGGGATGTAATCATAACACTAGGCACTATACGGCCATCGGCATCAAAACTCTAGTACCCTTTTCAACGATTCAGCTGTCCATTGACTTGCCTATAGCTGCAATTAGATTGGAATACCCGCTTCCGATTACTGTGATCTCAGTGTATCTGCCGTGTCAGAAAATCACAAACCTACTTGGAAAGCTCTCCGACCTCTCGCCTGGAAGCCCCTATCCTCTTTCTGGGAAACGTCAATGAGCACCATCAAGCTCGGGATGACCCCTCTAATAACTGACGTGGTATAGAGGTACTGGTATAGCGCAAATAAGGCGGGTAGCGACCATCACCCTTTCGAAATCAGAATCGATGGCAGACCCCCCAAGGCATCCCGCAGGTCCCACTTGCTGTACACAGCAAAAAAATAATTTTGATATCACGTCAAAGTGGATGCACTACAATCATGTCGAAAATATGGTGTAATATTACTTGCTAAAAAGGACAAAATTATCATTAATACAATGCATGAACTGACATTACGCTGCTTTTACTGCATTTGTTTATTTATGTGGTCATAAAAATTACATGAAATTTTCGACATGATTGTAGTGCATCCACTTTGATGTGATATCAAAATTATTTTTTTACTGTGTAAGAACATATGATATATGCAGAAAGAACAGGATCATACTTTGATTTTTTTTTTCCTGTACAAAACCTTATAGAAAAGCAAGTACGGGAACAAACACACATTAGGGTAGAGCACTACTTCGTCGTAATCACCCATTTCCGATCTATCGATCAGAAAAGATCAATAATATCAATGATTTCACCGTGCACAAATCAATAATAGGTTTGTTCCGATGCGTTAGTTCATTAGCTACAACAAAAATCCTGTTAGAGCGCATTGTATGAATATTTACGCTCATAAATTTAGAAGTCATTTTTGACAGAAATATTCCATTTTTTGTTTAAGCTCGTTCAGAAAAGAGAGGTAAAGCGCGGGTTGTGCTTAGTAGGACGGAAATTAGATCAAAAACCCTACTAGCCCTCCAAAAACTTACCTTCCAGATCGATTCGTCAAAAGAATTCCCACCATTACCATTCCAGAGGATTTTTCGAAGGATTAAGCCACTGTTACTTTTGCTTTCATTGTTTTTTTATTTGGTGACAATTATTGTCATATTAGATTCACGTACAAAAAAGCAATTTATAAGAAATCAAATTAAACGTGTTTCTTCTGTTTATTTTTTTTCCTTCAGTCTTAACCGTCTAATAAAAACTTAGAGCTAAATGTAATACTTTTCTTTATGTACACTGCTATGTTTCTCGCGCGTCTTTCTACTCTTCAGCTTCGGGGAGGGGGAAAAAATCATCTGTGTTTTGTTCTACATTTACCATTCATTCCTAATAACGACGTACTTTCCAATTCTTTTTTGCCTATTATAAACTTTTTTTTTGTTTGTTTCTTCGTTTCTGTCCCTTTGTTTTGCTTGTCAGTTTCAATTTGCTACTTCCGGTTTCGGTGATATGTCTGCGGATTATTGCATCGGTCAACCAAAACACTATTCACTTGTTGTTTGTTTTCCATCTCTTTGTTCTGTTGTTATGGATCGTTTTATTTTTTTTTTATTTTGCTCTTGTTTTTGTTTTGATGTCACTCACTTGTTTTGCACCTAAACACATTCAATCGATGTCTGTGATGTTCTCAAATGTAATGAAGTTGAAGAGAGAATTTGTGGTATTAGTAGATTTTGTGGCTACCAGGTAAAAAGAAGTTTCGAAGCGTGTTATGTAATTTTTTTAACTGCTCGGCTAGTGGAAAATGAGAATTCGGGACTATATAGGGAGATTGCTACTACTTTATAGGTTCGGCTATCGCGGGTTGATTTGTCATATGTGTTACATTTTGTTCTGCATGCTCACGGCGAACTGTTGCGGACTCGTGACCGGGTTTTCAAGTTCGCGTGGCATTGAATTGCTTTTCCTGTGTGTGTTGTATGAGATAAAATTTAAGTTTGTTCGCTACCTGCTTAACTAGGGTTCGTCCTCGGTATTTGTTTTGCTTGTTAGTAGAAAATAAAATAGTTAAACAAAAACTAACTTCTGTCGTTTTCTTTCCTCTGTTGCTTGCAGCTTGCAATAACGAACGGTATTTTCCGGTTTCTATTCTAGCGGTGCATTTTTTTTTTATTTCTGCAGTCGATTTCGGAGTCTCTATTTACAGTTTCGGGGAGATGGGATATAGATACGTTCTAAATCCTGTGGAATAGGAAAAACATGTTGAATTTTTATAGGGTTATTTTATCAACGTTCATTTAGCTAATGTCAGTCTTGATCATTGTATAAAATTGCATTGAATTGTATAAAATATTATGGAAAAATGCACCCCAAGAGTGGAAAGTAAATAAACTGTGTTATTAAGACTCAAGGAGTCCATTCAAATCCAAATTTTCAATTCCCGGTTTTTTCCCGGTTCCCCGTGCCTTAAACAAAAAGGATTTCAAAAATAACCGTTTATAGATAACCATATTTTTTAGCAGAATTGTTCTACTTGAGAATACGTCTACTTTGTAGAAAAAAAATATGATATGAGATTAACATTAAAATGTTGATGATCTAGATCCCCAAAATCTCATAAAATCGTGAAAATTGGCCTAAATTGTGTGTCGTAAAAAGCATATATCAATACAAGGGACCTGAGCAGGAGAATTGCAGTATTAAAAGCTCTTCATGTCATTCTGGAGGTTAGATCTTGAAGTTAGTTAAGCCAAACAACATTTTGTTTATCATTCTCAGATCTTGACTAACGAAAAATCACTTGAAACGAGAGCAGCAATTTTCCCTGTAGATTGAGAAACGAGTTTACAAGGATTGGGAGCAGATGCGCGTGGCTTAGTAGTAGATGTTTGGTATATGGAATCGGTATTGTGACTGGAAGAAGTGTATAAAATTCAGAAAGAGGAATGGTGAAAGGGGGCGGTTAGCATAACATTACATCATGACATACAATGCAATTATAAATGTAACAATATTCAAAAACTAAATACGACAGGGCATTGTTTGCTGTCTTTTGCCGCGGGTATTGTGGATTTCCTAGCTTTAGTTGGCTGCAGTAGCTCTCTGAATAGATAATGCCAAACAGTGCATCTATGTGATGTTTTGCTGTACCTGTTGTGGACATTAGTACATCCTTTTCCTTCAGCTTGTTGAGGACGCCTTTTCAAAAGTTATCCTTTTTTGACTTTATTAGAGAGATTTTTAGCCATTGGCTAGTTCATCTCTGAAAAGTTATCCTTTTTAAAGTACTGATCCTCAAAACATAAATGGCACCATTAAGGAACATTATATTTGATCAAATTATTCGCAGTTTTATTTGTCCAGCGCTCCCAGCTGAGTGTGGGGTAGAGAATGACACACACACTATCCAACTTGTCCTGAGGATATCTTAAAAGTTTGTTCGATATTCACTCAGAATGTTTGAGCGTTTTGTGCTTCACTGAGACTCATTACACCATTTAAAATTTTAAATTGTGTTTGAAAACAACGTTGTTTGATTATCCAAATCATCCCGGATATCTGTTCTCGAAATTCTACAGACTCAACAAGGTATACAATGATTCGACTTAATGATAGAATGGGTTAACCTTAGTGAAGCCTCATAATATAATTGGTTTGGATTATTAGGTTTTCCAAAATACCTGGAGTTCAAATCTTTATTTTTTTGTGTAGTCGCATTAACATTCTTGGATCATTCGTGACATATCCTGGTTAGAATTGAACTCATGACTTTGGCGTGAGAAGTATGGATTCCGATCTTTATGTTTTACAGATTAATCAAGGTATTCTTGGATGTCATGACTAATCTTGTGTACCTTAATTAATTAATTAACTTATTTTTAATTTATCTCTGGACCAATCGTCTCATGTTTTTTTTAGATGGTTGATTGTGTCCGGTGTGATTGAGCATGCAAGTAGTTTGATATTGGACTTCTTTTATTGGCTCTCCATCTTCAAGAAGCTTCGTAACAGGATATGTCTTGCTCAGATTTTATACAAGAAATACTTTACTCGGAAAACTGTAGCAAAATAATGCAAACACTTTTCTTCCAATGAAACCAAAAGAAAAATCACCGTTTGACTCGTGCGCAAAGCGGAAAAAATTGAGTTTTTTTTAAATTTAAAGGATTTTTAGAGACTTTGCCTAGACATAATACACAAAGTTGCAAACAGATGTGTAAACAAGAGATTATAATTATGTATATGATATAAAATTGCTTGAATCCAAGTAACATTGCTTGTTGTATAAAAGTTTATAGGATCCTTCGATACCAAATTATGGCCTGCAAGACCTAAACCTAAAACCTACTTGGGATGAGTATATTTGATTTTTCCCGGTGCAATTTGGGTTTTCCCGCAATTTTTCCGGTTTTTTCCCGGAAAATCCGAATTCCCGTTTTTTTTTTCGGATTTCCTGGTTTTCCCGGTTGGATGAACACTAGACTGATGCAAATTTTGACATTTTCGCTCCACAGTGCTCAAACGGTTCCAAATCGGGTCCTGATTAGTCTCCCAAAATTTGAACTCATTCGATAAGAAACTGACTTGGCACAAACCATTTTAAGTTTATATGGAAATTACTATAGGAAAACCAAATGTTTTGTTCATATCTATCTAACAATTTACCATATCGCTCTGCTTTAAAAAATGATAACTGAGCTCGTAGAAAATTTTCTCAGCTACAACTTTGTCCTGAACGACATTTCAATATAATGTAAGCATCAAAAGTTATCAATAATTCAAGCCACTAATGCCTTACGATTATGCTCAATCAACTGTTCAGCAGGCAACATTGGTGTTTCTGGCGCTTGGAATAGAGCACAAAAATCATGGCTACTATGTCACACTGCAAGATACAGTGTTGCTCACAAAACAGCTGCTTGATCATGTCATAAGATTATCAATCTCTTAAATAATTAATAACTATTTTATTTGACGTTTAACTCAACAACTATTTTCTCCTAAGTTGAAGCTGAGAAAATTTTGCATAAGTATAGCTTTTGAATGTTTGAACAGTGCAATATGGAAAAAGGTAAGAAGACAATGAACAAAAAGTTTGGATTTCCCATAGTAATTTCCATATAAACTTCAAATGGTTTGTGGCAAGTCAGTTTCTTTTCAAATGAGTTCAAATTTTGGGAGACTAATCAGGACCCGATTTGGAACCGTTTGACCACTGTGGAGCGAAAATGTCAAAATTTGCATCAGTCTAATGAACACCCTGTATTAATAGCAAGGGTCTTTGGAATTCGATTTTTAAAAATAAATTGGAATTTTATAAATAATCCGTAGTTGTATACTTATCACAAATCGACTTATTCCAGTCATAACTGTAACGGAAGAGTGTTGGTTGGATGTTGGATGTATAAAAAATATTTATCTGTTTGTTATAGAACGCATAACAATTAAATTGCTTAAATTGTTCCTTGTCTCATCGGAGTGTTATTACAGTACCTCAACTGCTGTTAATTGGGAAATATGATGGCCAAATCAGTTAACTACCGACTTAGATAATGCGGCCTCGGATAGCTTAATAGGTCAAGGAACGGTATAATCAAGTTGAGGCGGTTAGTTTAATTTGCGGTTTGATCTAGAAAATCTTTCGAGTTGGAAATTTTCTCGGTATCCTTGGACATAGAGCAGGTCTGGCAAACGCGGGTCAAATATTGAAATCCATATCAGCTAGCGGGCCAGAAATTAATACTAAATTATTCCTCCCACATTTTTACAAAATCAGAAGATTTTGTGTCAGTAAACAAGCGTTAAAAATTACCAAACTAAATAAATAAAACGAAGGAACTATCTTCAGTAATGTATCCAAATTCTTCTTCTTATTTAAACCAGTTAGTTTTTATGATAACAACGGTTCCTCCACTTTTCCTATCCTTAAAAAATGTACCCCTCGGGTAAGCCACGAGTATCCGGCCCAACTCTTACTAGACAAAGAATTAAGTGAATTTTATTACAAACAAAGCATAATGGATTGTCGGCTCCGTATAGCTAACCCGATTGAGTCTAAAAAAATAAATGAACTTGATAAAAAATAAAAAAGACAACAACGGTGAGAAGCTGCCTAATTTTAGATCACCAGTTTTTACACATTGAAGAGCTAGTCCCAAGCACCATCTGTTGTGTTCTCTGTGTAAATACAGTTTATCTGGCAATAAGGTAGTAGCATCCGCGGGAGGTCATTCATGCTCAGAATTGGTACTTAGGAAAATAGCAGATGATTCCTTTATCTTGAAAGCTCTTCGTTATTTTCTCAAAACATGATTTTAAGAAATGATTTCTTCATTTAAAGACGAGCAATTATTTAAAGTTCTCATGTTCTTGTTATGTAGGGTCCTGTGGATGAAACAGACTTCTTTTGAAAGGTACGGTTTCTTTGTATTGCTACATGTCCAATCATACCAACTCAGTGACTGAGATTAATTGACGCAGAGAATTTTCTTTCCATACGAAATTTACTCAGATTTGGAAAAAAAAATGCAGTTACTCACAAGCTATCAGTAACTGCAGTTTTGTCCAAATCTGAGTAAATTTCGTATGGAAAGAAAATTCTCTGCATACTTAGATTATTTTACCGAAATCTATGAAATTTTACCGAAATCTCAACAGCTGAACGTTCGGTAAATAGTTCGGTGATTTTTCACAGATTTCCTGTAATTTTTCACCGAATATCTGTGAAAAATTACAGGAAATCTGTGAAAAATCACCAAACTGTTTACCGAACGTTCAACTGTTGAGATTTCGGTAAATTTCACAGATTTCGGTAAAATAATCTTGGTGTGTGAGATAATTAATATCAGTCACTGAGTTGGTATAATTGGTCGTGTACACTATTAATTTGAGTCGATGGTTGAAATTACAGATTGGAATCATCGTTCAAAATCTCCTCTTCTTTGGATTTTATTGAAACAATGCGTCATCTGGAATGGCGATTACTGGTTGCTTAAGAAAAATAGATCAAAAAATGCTTTGTTTCGGAATTTAACATGGGCCCAACATAAGGAACTTCAACCCTATTGTCTCTAAATTCACCAAAATTGTTATTTAAATATTTTCCATTGATTAATTCCATTCATAGATCATAAATGTATTTCGACCAAATGTTTGCTTCGGCACAACGACCTTTTCGGCTTGATGATCTTCGGTGAAATGACCGTCGGTGAAATAAACAGATCCCATCAAACATTTTTTTCCTTGGTTTGGTTTCCGTCGATCTTGTTTTCCGTGCTGAGCACCAATGCTACCGACGCGACGCCAGGAAAGCAGCTTCCACACCTGGACCCTACCTATCGACACATCAACTCATGGACCGGGAACCAACGGCTTTACTCCCAGTTCAGGGAAGTATTGGCGAAATTGGGGAAGTTCTGTTGAAGTTCAGGGAAGTTTTGCTGAATTTCAAGGAAGTCCTGCCAATGTTCAGGGAAGTTCTTCCCAAGTTCAGGGAAGTTCTTCCCAAGTTCAGGGAAGTTTTGCTGAACTTCAGGGAAGTCCTGCCAATGTTTAAAGAAGGCCTGCCGACCTTCAGGAAAGTCCTGCCGTAGTTCAGAGAAAGCTTGCCGAAGTTCAGGGAAGTCCTGCTGAAGTTCAGAGAAGTCCTGCTGAAGTTTAGAGAAGTTCTGCCGAAGTTCAGGGAAGTTTTGCCGAAGTTCAGAGAAGTTCTGCCTAAGTTCAGAAAGTCCAGCCATTTCAATTCTTGGAAATTAGGGAAGTCCTGCAGAAATTCAGAGAAGTTCAGGGAAGTTTTTCAGAAGTTTAGAGAAGTTCTTTCGAAGTTCAGGGAGGATTTGCTGAACATAAAGGAAATCCTGCCAATGTTCAGAGAAGGCCTGCCAAACTTTGGGAAAGTCCTGCCGAAGCTCAGGAAAGTCCTACCAAAGCTCAGGGAAGTTGTTCTGTCGAAGTTCAGGGAAGGCCTGTCGATCCTCAGGGAAATCCTGGTGAAGTTCAGGATGGTCTTGCCGAAAGTTCTGCCGAACTTCAGTGAAGGCCTGCCGAACCTCCGGGAAGTCCTGACGAAGTTCAGGAAAGTGCTCCCAAAGTTCAGGAAAGTCCTCCCGAAGTTCAGGAAAGTCCTTCCGAAGTTCAGGAAAGTCCTGCCGAAGTTCAGGAAAGTTCTCCCGAAGTCCAGGTAAGTCCTTCCGAAGCTCAGGGAAATAGTGTCGAAGCTCAGGAAAGTCAGAGGCAGAGAAGTTCTGCCAAAGTTCAGGGAAGTCCTTCTGAAGTTGTGGGAAATTTTGGCAGTTCGGGGGGGGGGGGGGGGGGTCCTGATGAAGTTCATGAAACTCCTGTCGAAGTTCAGGGAAGGCCTGTCAAACCTCAGGAAAATCCTGACGAAGTTCAGGGTGGTCCTACCAAAAGTTCTGCTGAATTTCAGTGAAGGCCTGCCGAACCTCAGGGAAGTCCTAACAAAGGTCAGGAAAGTCCTGACGAAGGTCAGGAAAGTCCTCCCGAAGTTCAGGAAAGTCCTCCCGAAGTTCAGGAAAGTCCTCCCGAAGTCCGAGGAAGGCCTTTCGAAGTTCAGGGAAATATTTCCGAAGTTCAGGGAAGTCTTGCTGAAGTTCATGGAAGTCCTGTTCTGCCAAAGAAGTTCTGCCAAAGTTCAGGGAAGTTCTTCCGAAGTTGAGGGAAGTTTTGCTGAACTTCAGGGAAGTCCTGCCGAAGTTCAGGGAAGGCCTGTCGAACCTCAGGGAAATCCTGACGAAGTTCAGGGTGGTCTTGCCAAAAGTTCTGCCGAATTTCAGTGAAGGCCTGCCGAACCTCAGGGAAGTCCTAATGAAGTTCAGGTAAGTCCTCCCGAAGTTCAGGAAAGTCCTCCCGAAGTTCAGGGAAATATTTACAAAGTTCAGGGAAGTCCTGCTGTAGTTCAGGGAAGTCCTGCGGAAGTTCAAAGAAATTCTGCCAAAGTTCAAGAAAGTTCTTCCGAAGTTGAGGGAAGTTTTGCTGAACTTCAGGAAAGTCCTGCCAATGTTCAGAGAAGGCCTGCCGAACTTCAGGAAAGTCCTGCCGAAGTTCAGGAAAGTCCTGCTGAAGTTCAAGGAAGCTCTGCCGAAGTCCACGGAAGTTTTTCCGAAGTTCAGAGAAGTTCTGCCTGAGTTCAGTAAAGTTTAGCCATTTAAATTCTTGAAAATCAGGGAGGTCCTGCTGAAGTTCAGAGAAGTTCTGCCAAAGTTCAGGGAAGTTATGCTGAAGTTCAGGGATGTTTTTCCGAAGTTCAAAGAAGTTCTGTCGAAGTTGAGGGAGGTTTTGCCGAACTTGAGCGAACCAATGTTCAGGGAAGGCCTGCCAAACTTGGGGAAAGTCCTACCGAAGTTCAGGGAAGTCCTACCGTAGTTCAGGAAAGTCCTTCCAAAGTTCAGGGAAGTCCTATCGAAGTTCAGGGAAGTCCTGCCATTTCAATTTTTGGAAGTCAGGAAAGTCCTGATGAAGTTCAGGAAACTCCTGTCGAAGTTCAGGAAAGTCCTGATGAAGTTCAGTAAAGTCCTGCTGAAAGTTCAGGGAAGTCCTGCCAAAGTGCAGGAAAGTTCTTCCAAAGTGCAGGGAAGGCCTGTCGAAGATCAGGGAAGTCCTTCCGAAGTTCAGGAAAGTATTGCTGAAGTTCAGGAAAGTCCTGCCGAAAGTTCAGAGAAGTCCTGCGGAAGTTCAGAGTAGTTCTGCCGAAGTTCAGGGAAGTTCTTCCGAAGTTCAGAAAATGATCTAATTATCTTTAAAAATACCAAGATATATCAGAATACCTTCATCAAAACGGCTCGTCACGCGCGAGCTTGACCCTGCTTTTGGTGCTGATGGTTTTTTATTGCAAATTCATTCATGGATCGCCCCGTCGTGTGACTTTTTTTCGCTTCTCTGTTTCGAGCGAGCGTTCACATTGTTCTTCTTCTTGGAGGCTGTTTACGCACAGATACATGCAAAAGCAAGTTGATTTCTACGGAAAACTAAATCTTATGCTTGGCGTTGCGTTACAAAAAAAAATGGTTTATATTGGAATAATGCATTTTACAGGTATATTGTCTTCGAAGGAAATGTGCCTAGCAATATATTGAAATGATTCACATAAGTCCAATATGACCTTTCATACTAAATACTTGTGTAATTGATGAGCAAAGTTAGCGTCCACTTAAATTGAACTTTGAAAATAGTTTTCAGAAAATTTAAACAATAAATAAATTTTGTAAAAATTGCTAAAGATAGCAGTTTTAGTTTTTTGATTTTGCACGGAACCGTTTTTTTATTTTTTTTATTGAGCGTTGCGTTATTTTGTGAAAAAAAAGATGAAGTGAGTCATTCTGAACCAATCCACTTTCATCTTAAGATGCCATTATCATTATTTTTTCTTATTTTAATCTCTGTTCGTACATTGTTTTTTTCCGAACAGTTTTCGCATTGGAAGGACTTTGCTATGTTTTTTTTACAAGCTGATCAGCCGGTTTACAAGTTTATTTATTATAGCAGATTGTTTAGTTTTTTTTTTAATTCCCATCGGTAGTTACATTGATACTGAAAGTAAGATTACATTATCAATATTTTCCTTCTTAACAATATTGCTCGTTGTTTCATATAATCAAAAAATGTATCTTTTGATGATTAGTAATTTAACGGTGTCTTAAAGGAAGGTTATCATTCAAAATTTTCAAAAATCGATTTTTTTTTGTTATTGCATTTTTTTAAAGGTTTGAAGTGTCTACTATATTGTGTTCAGTGTTGGAAAAGTTCGCGATATTTCACGAAGTTCACCAAGGGAAAAGTTCGCGAGTCATAGTGAGTTTTCGCGAACTTTTCCATCACTGATTGTGTTGAAAGGGTTTTTCGATCCACGCACAAGAAAAATTTCTACAGACCATTGTTCGAAGCGGCGTCCTGGCCGCCATGGGACGCTCTCGATTTTAAACGCGTTTGTCTCGAAACATAATTTTCCAAAACTGCGACAATTTAATTTGAAAACGGTTCAATTTAACGACATTTACCTTTGACCATTCGAAAGAAAACCAGTTTTATTGGAAGAATAATCTATAAAATCTACAAGTGCTTTGTATGCACCATTTTTTTAAGCCTTAAAGAGGAAAAAAGGGGTGAAAAATCGACCAAAATGTTTGTTGTATTTCAGATCGATCCTGAGGTACCAGGCTTTACGCAGTTTGACAAATTCAGGCGTACACTATCTTACTCAAAACGTGACCACGGGCGCCATTTTGTTTTTTCGCCTTGGAAATAAAGACGAAGTTCTAAGCTTTTTGAATTTCAAAACCACGTCGTTCATTTTTTTTTCATTATCCCACAAAAAAAAAAATGAAAAAATTTGCAAAATTTGTCTGGTACGTATTCTTTCTACTATTTTCCATCATGTCAAGCATGCTTCACAATAAAATAAACTGCCATTCGACCTGTTGCCATCTTTGAATCATTCGGCTTTTTTTATTCAACCGTTTGTCCCCCTGCTCATCATTCGACCTTTTAACCATTCGATCTTTTGTTACTCTTCTCATAATCCAGCACTATGTCCATTCGATCTTTTCAACCCCTTTTCATTCGAAATTTTGTCCCCCTTTTCGTCATTCGACCATTCAATATTTTGCTCATTTTACCTTCTGTCCATTCGAACTTTTGTCTCTCTTCTCATCATTCCACCATTTGTCCATTCCACCATTTGTCCTTTCGACTTTTTGTCATTCGACGTTTTGTCATTCCACCTTTTTTCATACTATTCTTAAAAACTTAGGGGCCTAAAGAAGTAACTTACATACGAGTGCACTAATCATAAACACTAAATGTTCATGGATAATGAAAAATGAACATTTTAAGTACATTATTAGTAAACATTGCCCGCAGCTTGAGTCGCTTTTTCTCGAGTGAGTGAACTCGAATCCATCAGTCTACTTCCGATTATTTTTCTTCGACGGTCGTATTTTCCCTCTTCAGTCTTCAAATGACACCACAATGGAATGATACTGGTTTCAAAAGATCAGAATCCACTTGAATGGTACTTGAAAGTTTCTAAATTCTTTCTAATTTTCGAGAACAAGAAAAATTAAAATCTGTTACCGTCACTCCTGGGGCGCAACATTAATTCATTCCCGTAAATATTTCTACCTAACTTACCTTACGACGCTACGCGATGCCCTGACGACTGACGACGTCCAGACCTAGACATGGGGGCTCGGGGATGAGGGATGACGGGAAAATGACAACCTCTACAATTTTTACTCCGTGTTATTGATGATCTTTCGCAAGCTCGTTGGAATTGGCTAATAATGTCATATTTAATTTTACTGGTTTTGTTTTCCTTCTTCTTTATTTTTTTCGTTTTCTTTTCTGCAGCTGTAGCTGTTTTAAATAAAAATAAAAAATGATCCTCCATCGCAAGCACACTCCACTACTGATTGCACGTACTGTCCAGATCATCCTGGACTTCACAACACTCGTGAACCCGTGGCAGTACTTGTTTCGACGGTTGCTTTTCTTTTCCTCTCAATGTACAACGTTTTCTACTGTTTCCTCTTTTTTTTTGCTTTCGTTTTCTTTCTTTTTCTTATTATTGGATCATTAAGGGTATCACAGTTCATTTAGTTGATTGTAGTACCCTACCAAAGGTAGTGGACAAGCTATTCGATGTTGAAGTGTCAAAGTTTGGTCCTGCGCGGCATCGTCGACGGTGGGGAAGAAACGGAGGGGGAGATGTAATAAAATAATATCAATAAACGCGAATCGCTCAAGATGGTTTGTTTGATTATTGGGAGGGTGAGGGAGGGAGGGGGTATCCAACGAAATCAGTGATGATAATTTTTCAATTTCGTACCCGTAGCACTTACCTTGATATCAGACGTTGGGATTGCGCTGGAAAACATCGTTAGGATGCTGATTGCTATAGTTTTGCTTGGATGAACATTGCTGGAGGCGAAATAAAAAGAAGGAGATAGGAAGACACGGGTGTTATTGCTTATATTTTAGCTGAATCGTAAAATCGCGACGGTTGAGATATTTTTGGGGACTTGCAACTAAGCGAGCGGCAGGGGCGACAACATCAGAATTGGTTTCTATCCGTCGCGAATAAAGCTATTAAATTCATTTTATAAGCATTCTCGCGACGATTTTGGGGATATTTGGAAGAAATCGGCGATCGTTAAAATAAATTGACGAAACACATGCTACTTTGGAGCGAAGAAGGACCGACCATAAAAATCTCTAATGATGTTCTTCGTCTTCCCAAAAATGGCTCCAATCAGGTATGGAACACCAAGATTAACACTTACTGCTTGCTTCTTCTCCCAGGTCTTCATGGCCGATTTGTACTTCTCGAACTCGTGGCACCAGTCGGAGTAGATCTTCTGATAGTCATTGCTCTTGTTCGGTGGGGTGCATCTGGAGGGAATAAACAGAAACAAAGGCACCGATTGCAATAAATGCAGTATAAAACAGCATAAAATGTCCGTACCTGTGAGCATCCACCGTAATGTTGTAGCTGCAGAGCAGTGACCCGCCAAGATGGCAGTCGTACCGTCCTCCGTCGGCTTCGTTGACCGAAATCACAACCAGTCCCCGTTCGGTCGTTTCGATGTACTTGGTCGGGTTGTACTTAATTTCGTAGCGTCCCTTCTCCTTCGAGTGGTGATACCAGGTGACCGATTGGTCCTTCAGTATCTCCGGGACCTTGACGAAGCATCCCAGGTGAACGCTCTGGCCGTAGGTTACGATGATCTTCTTCTTCAGGACGCTAGTGTCGCAAATGTCGTACGTTTCGTTGCCAACATCCTAGGAAGAGATAGAGCCAGGAGGTTAGACAAAATATGCCGTATGAAGTTTTGCTTTCAGTAGTTTTGGCGGTACGGTAAGGAATCATGTTGACCCGTTACTTTATGAAATACAGTCAGGAATCCTTATTACCAGACTATCCGCGAATACAGTTCATCGGTTTTTCACTAATAGGGGCTGTGGTGGATCATCTAATTTGTTTCACTATATAAAACTATACTGTTTTCAACAAAGTTGTTGTAGTGGTTTAGACAAACAAGCTTGTACCATTGGATTTGATTCAATTGTGAACTACGCCGCTAGAGGAACTTCACTTTTATATTGCTTATGACGGGCGCTATAATATATGGAACTTGGGTCCAACATAGAATATTTCGTGATCCTGGTCATAGCGAAAGTTGCTGTCTTCAGTCTTCGGCAAAGTTGTTCAGGTGAATAAGATCTTTCGGATGGAGGCCTTATTAGTTCATAACTCTCTTACTACGGAGTGCTAGTGTGCACATGAGCTTCCTGTATAAGCTGTATCTCAAAATTCTGACCATATAGAAGGTTACTGTCTACAGCAAAGTTGTGCAAGTGATGATTTCCTTTTGAATGGTGGCCATATTAGTTCGGAAATCTCTCATTACGCAGCGCTGTATTTCGAGAGCCTGGCCATATAGAAATTTGCTGTCTTGAGCAAAGCTGTGCAGGTGACCAAGTCCTTCCGGACGATGGTGATATAAGTTGAGAACACGCTCACTAAGCAGCGCTAGTGTGCAAGTAAACTTCCTGTATAAGCTGTATCTCGAAAATCTGGCCATATTGAAGGTTCCTGACTTCAACAAAGTTGTTCAGATGACCAAGTCCTTTCGGATGTTGTTCCAGAACTCTCTCACTACGCCTCCCTTAGCTCAGTCGGTAAAGGCGCAGCTACAAAGCAAGCGCATGCTGGAAGTGGCTGAGTTCGATTCCCAGTCCCATCTAGGATTTTTTGGGTTGGAAAATTTATCGATTTCCCTGGGCATCGAGTATGATTGTTCTTGCCACACAATTATACGAATTCAAAAATGCTACAGGTTCCAACCTGGATCATAAACAAATTCGCTATAAGTTGAGAGCACGCAATAAACTAATATACAATAAGCAATAAGTTTGAAACGCAAAGAAGATGAAGAAGACTGTCACTACGCCGCGCTAGTGTGCACATGAACATTCTTAATATGTTATGTCTCGAAAGCTTGTCCATATAAAATGTTGCTGTGCAATGTGAGAATAGGAACCGGAAAAGGGATGCCGTGTAGAGGCTGGAAATTTCGATTTCGAACGCCATTTTTAATTCCAAGAGGTCATCGGTTCAAGAACAATTGCAAATACCCTACAATATGGGTATTTTCGGACAGAGGACTTCTACACGCCGGAAATCGATTTCGGATGCCATTTTGTAGTCCAAGATGGTGGTCATCGGTTCAAAAAAAACTGTCAAATGCCCTAAAATATGGGTATTTTCGGGAAAGAGACGACGAACAGTGGTCTAGAACTGTGAACAGACGGTCAAAAGTCATTATTTCATTAATCTTGCATTTCAGACTAGTGGTGTCTTCAGAAAAGTTTATCGATATAAAAAAGCCCTTCTTTTGACATTGACAAATCAATGGTTAATCCTCCAAGAAGTGAGATTCAACATTTATTTTTCCAAAAATTCCATATTCTGGTTCGGTGTCTTGGGCAAAGTTTTAGAAAATATCAAATCAAGAAAATTTGCTCATTGAAATATGGAACGTTTTTGGTGGAAAACCTCCTAATAAAAGTTTATACTCCATAATTAATTTCTTCTAACTTCTACTGGTTTGAAATGTTTTACAAAATTGTTCAAAACATTAATACACAAAAGTTTGATGGATATTATAGCACACTAGATCGCTAAATAGGTGAGTTATTATTGGGTTTGCTCCAAAAATAGAATAAATAATTATTACGATTTACTACCATTTCCCACCACATCTCACGACAAAACCAAAAGGAATAGAAATATTTAAGACATATAGAGGCCGGAAATTGATACCAGATGCTATTTTGGAATCCAAGATGGCAAACATCGGTTCAAGAAAAACGGTCAAATACCCTACGATATGGGTATTTCTTTAAAGGGGACGACGTGTAGAGGGCGGAAATCGATGCCAGACGCCATTTTGGAATGTGCCAGTAACACTTATCAATCTAAGCAGGCCCAGAGCGTGAACCCACGGCTATGCTTGGTATGGTTACTTATTATTAGTAGAGATAGTGATGCCAACTCCTTGCAAGTACCATATTGGCCAAACCTAGACATTAGGTTGGCCCAAAATAACACATTATCTGCTTACAGCTGTGCTTAAATTTATTAACATCTCTTTAAACTGTTCCTCTGAGACACACACATTATCTGAAAACCCGGGGGCTCACTTTAAAATTATAACCAAGGGTGTTTTTTGCAATATCAGATTTAGTTTTTGACGTAGGACTACGTCTGTGATTTCTATATTGGGGTACACTTTGTGAAAACCAAAAATGGAACATGTAACAAAATTATGAAAGATTTTTAACGTTAATAACGCAGCTACCCCTGATCTAATTCCAACAATTTTATCACCAATCGATCAGAAATGTTTCTACGCATCTGACTTTATCATTTGTCAAAATGCCACTATTGAAAATTGCACCAATGTGCAATTGTTGCTATGATAATTTAAATTATCACCGATTGCCTGCGAAAAGCGATTTCCCTAACACAGATTTCAAAGTGAGTGGTGGTGTTCTCCAAAACACAACGAAAGGCTCCCGGCAAGCAGTGACCTGCAGCCCACATGAGCATCCAGGAGGAAGAAGTCGCGCCGCTATTGATGGGATCAGTAGCACTTCGTGAGTTGCTGTGGGCCATCTATGTCAAGCGCGTTATACTAAAGAGTATAAAAAGAGAGAACCCCACTCAAATTCCTATTCCTACACAAAACACAAGCTCCTGCTGCAGTTATGAACACAATAACAACAAATAAGATTTATTATATAAGACCACGTAGCCCTACGTCACTTGTAGTCTTTTACAAAATTAGACATTCCAATATACTGTGAATTACGTGGACTCTTAATTTAGTTTGAACTAAACAATTACATTTTTTTTTTCCTATGTTCGGGACCTAACACCACTGCGACCAGTAAATTGTTCTTTTGTAGTATAACCCGTGTCCTTAGTTTAGTGCATGTCATATTACTCCATCACTATTAAGAAATGATGAAGTATTCGATTTTTTTTACAGTTGCCACTCTTGCATTTATCGCAAGGATTCGACTCTAATTGAAAGGTCCCGCTATTTATACCCTTCGGAGTGTTGGAACACCATCCATAGGCGCGCCCCTTTGTCAGTCAAAATTGGATTCCTAAGCAACAAAATTAAGGTATGACACCGATAATGACCATGCATCAGAACCCTAGTCTTAACCACTTTAAACTAGGGACCAACGAATAGAAGATTAGGAATCACATAGATGAAGACAACTAACTCATTTTTTTTCCTTGTTTCAAGATCATCCTCTGTAGACAAAGCCGAGTCTTGTCACTATCAACAAGGCATAAAAAGTAGCAAGGACTAAGATGTGTTCCTTGGATTACTGAAAAATCTTGTTCCTCTAGTTTGAAGTAGTCAGGACTAGGAATCGGTGGTAGATCTAACATCCCGTAACGTACCATGAAAAGGTGATCCACCCACGTTACGGGGCAACAATGATGTTTATAAGCACCTAATATCCGAATAACGCTCAGGAAAGCTCCATTTTGATATATGCACTTGATTTTTTCAGGGTGTCCATTTGAATTCCTTTTTTCAATTCCCGGTTGTTTCCCGGTTATTAAAAAAAACTCTACCTTAAACAAAAAAGGCGTTCAAAAATAACCCTTTAGAGATACTATTTTGTCAGCAGAATTCCTCTACAATTTGCAGAGTTGGTAGTGGGTATTTTATACTGTAGTATTGAATACAGCAACGAAAAAAATGAACAAATAGTGACTTTAAAACATTAAAAAATTTACCAATAGTGACATTTATTGATCGGAAAGATATTAAAGATATGAATCTAATCTGTCGTTGAATGCGATCCGCTTTGACAAATATTATTAATTTTTAAACCACCATGAGCATTTTACAAGTTTTTTTTTTTCAAATAAAACAAATGGTTGAAAGATCTTATACATTTGTTTTCTTAAAATCAGTATTAATTGGACAATCAATAGGTTAATTTGTAACCTCCAGTTCCTCTCACAGTACCCTTTTTTCTGACACGATTTTTTGGAAACCAACCGGTGAATAAGTTGAATTTAGATTCAGATCGCGAATTGGTTGAATTTTGGGATGTGAAAGATTGAACATAGAAATTTATTAGGAAATCTTGAAAAAAAAAAAAAAAATTAAGGCGCAGAGAAAAAGGTTCAACGTCTTGAACAAATTCGGCAATTTTAAAGCGTCTCGAATATAGAAACTTTTGTAAAATTTCAAACATAGACAAATTTTCATATCTCTGTAACCTAGACAAGTGTTCGCGTAAATGGAGCGTATCAATAATTGTCATTATTCTGGCAACAGGTAAATTTTCTCGAAAAATCTCGGTTCTCAAAAAAGTTGTAAGATACTGGTATACATAATAAATTTATATTTTTTGTTTAATTCTGGTACTTAGTAATTCGTTATCTTTAATTCAGACAAATTAAGAAAGCATAGAATAATTTACGACATATTAGAATGTAAGTTCACAGTCCGAGAAACATTTAATGATTCTAAGATATAGAAAATATTTCATGATTTTAAACATAAATTTTATCTAAAATCTGGGATTGGTAATTTGCTGATTCCAGACTTGTAGAAAATACAATTTGATGGGCTGGGAAAAGAATTTCTAGAAAAAAAGAAGCTTCTACTACATGATTTTTCGATGTTTTCCGATACTAAAGCTTCCGGCCTTCAAAGATTTATCGAAATTCAGGTCTTTGA